AAGAAACTGCCAAACTGCCTTCCGAGGTGACCATACCATTTTGTACCCTCACCAGCAATGGATAAGATCATGCCTTTGGTGCTGCATCTAAAAAGTCATCGCCGTACTGTGGTCACTGAGGTTACCTTCTACAAGTTTTATAGTTTTGTGTATTGAGTCTTCTTATTCATGAACATGGAATATCTCTCCATTTCTTTAGTTCTTCATTTATTTTTTTTATCAGAATTCTATAATTTTCCTCATACAGATCTTATACATATTTTGTTAGATGTATACCTAGGTAAATCATTTTTAGGGGATGCTAATGTAAATGACACTGTGTTTTCAAGTTTAAATTCCACTTGTTCATTGCTGCTACATATGAAAGTGACTCATTTTTCTGTGTTCACCTTATATCCTGCAACCCTTTTATAATTACTAGTTCTACGAGTTTTTCTGTTCATTTTTTCACACTTTCTACACAACGATCCTGTCATCTGTGAACAAAGACAGTTTGCTGTCTTCCTTTCCAATTTGCATATCTTTGCTTATCACATTAGTTAGAACTTCCAGTGTGATGTTGAAAATGAGTCATGACAGTGAATGTCCCTGCCTTGAACCTGACCTTAGTGGGGAAGCTTCGAGTTTCTCACCATTAATATGATGTTAGCTGTAGGGTTTTTTGTAGATATTCTTTATCATGTTGCTGAAGTCTCCCTCTCTCTTTATTGTAGTTTACTGAGAGTTTTTTTTTTTAAATCATAAATGAACTTTGGATTTTCTCAAATTTTTTTCTGCACCTATTGATATGATCATGTAATTTTTAATTTTTAGTCTATTGATATTGGTAGATTACATTAACTTATTTTCAAATGTTGTACCAGCCAAGGTAAATCCTACTTGGTTATGGTGCACAATTCTTTTCAACATTGTTGGATTCTATTGCCAATATTTTCTCTTATTTTTTTAATGATGAAATGAAATCAAAGTTCTCAGCCTTCTATTTTCAAGTACTTTTCTGAAAATAGTGCATAGTCTTAATTCTCCCAAATATGAAATGCCAAATTACATAAAAATCAATGCTCTAGTTCCTGTTTTAACATTTTTTAAGAATAAATTTCCTAGCAGAAAAATAGAATTGACAGATTTACCTAAGATCATTCTGAGGTCTGTGTATAGTAGACATCAGTTTAAAACTCATTATTGGTTTGTGACCTTTCAATCAGCAGCTTCATGTCGTCAGTCTGTGGTTTCCATGCATATAATTTAGGTAACGAGTTAATAAAAGAAAGAAGAAGACTATGTAAAACTGTGTAACTGACAAGCCACCAGGATTGCTAGGGTTGGGGACATGGTACTTGACCTCGAGAGACCACACGAACCCGCTCTAGGGCTTGTCACCTCTGTGCACTGCAGCTCTCCATGGGTCTGTATTCTGGGGAAATACACGAACCGATACGCAGTCTGAAACGTAACTAGAAAAAAAACGCCATTGCTATCTTTGATGTGAATTTCCTGGGCTGCCCCATGCAGATGCCAGGAGCTCTAAACCAGCGGCTGGAAAATGTCATTTGCCTGACTTTACACCTTTAAAATTCTCAACAATCAGAATCTCATACTTTCCCATCTACTTCAACTGAACACAAAACAATTTCCTGTTCCAAAATGTCCCCCAAAACATCCTCCCACCACCACCAGCCGGCTGGCCCGTGTCTCCTGTTTTCCCTTACAGTCAAATCTCATGGAAAAGAAGTTTAAATCTGCTGTTTCAGTCTGTCAACTCAGTCACTTTAATATGGTTTCTGCTCTTAGTCTTCTACTAAAAATATCTTTGTTAGCATGACCGGGCGTGTCCACTGGTTAAGCCCGACGGCCACTTTTCTGACGTGTTAATTATCTCAGTAGCACGTGGTCGGTCACTTCCTCTTTCCAGAAGCCTTTCCATCCCTCAGCCAGCGTGGTGACAGTGATAACATGCGCTTCCAGTCTGCACTCAGTCCTTGCGTTCCTTGTCCCCAGTCTCTTTGGCCAACCTCTTCTACGTTACCTTTAAAAGCAGTGGTGTTCTTGAGGACTCAGTAAGGCCTTCTTTCTTCAGAATTTTCTCTCTAGGGAACCTCATTGAGGTTCAAGGTTTCAAGTAGCCCCCTATATAGACTAAGGGAGATTTCTGTCTCCAGCCCAGACGTTTCTCCCAAGTTCAGGGCCTTACGCACACCTGCTCATTCAAGGTATCCATTCGAACGTGGCCGAAACCTCGCCCTTGGTCTCACCCTGATCCCAGACCATCTGAGCCAGAAACTCACTTGTTCTGAGTGTTTTCTAGTCCTCAGAAAGTGGGGCCACTGCTCTTGTCAGAAATACAAGATATGCCCACTTTCTCTACCCAACATGGCCAATCAATCAGCAAGCCCTATTGATTAAACTTCCTAAATATTGCACCAGTCTGTTCACTTGTCCCTGCCTCACAACACGGCCCCCTCAGGTCAGAGCCCTGGCCACTGCTTGCCTAACTGCCCAGCCAGCTCCCTACCTGGCCTTGTGTGAACACCATGCCCCCGACTCCATCGGTTGGTTGTCTGCTCTGAAGCCACAGTGCTATTTTAAAGTGCAGATTTGATCACATCCTCCTCCTTTCTTTTCTGAAAGACGTTTTAATGTCTTCCCTTTTGTAATAGGGTAGTAAAAGGTCTGTAATAAAACTTCGAGGCCCTGCCTATAGGTCTGGCGCTGGCCTGCCTCTCCAACCTCATCCCACGCCATTCTTTCCCTTATTCTTCGAGATAAACACGGGTTCTTCCCTTCCCTGGAAGGACTACCGCAAGACTTTCACTTTGGTAGTTTTCTTAGGACAGGAGCTGGCAAATTTTTTAGGTAGCAAATATTTTAGGCTCACGGGCCAGCAGGTCGTGGTCCGTGACCCAACCACTCAGTGCTGACCTTGGGGTGTGGAAGCAGCTGCAGACTGGGAAGTGAATGCACACGGCCACGTTCCTGTGCAAAGTGGCCATGGGCTCGGGCACAGGTTGCCAGCTCCTGCTGCCAAAGGCCAGCAGTGCCGACTCAGTCTCTGGCACATTCGTTTTGAGGGCTGTTTTCTCATTGAAACTTTCCCTGGTCAGGACCAATCCCCTTAGAAAATGTTCTTGCAACACAAAGTGGATTTCTCGTTCCTAGAAATGACTGTTACTACAGTCAGTTAGGTATTTATAAACTTCTTTTGTCGACATCCCTGCTCCCTATAGGGTTGGAAGCTCTTCCAGCTTCCCTGTTAGACTGGGAGCTGCATTTACTTTGCTGTTTTATTGCCAACCTGTGGTGGAGAGCGTGACTCATGCATAGCAGCAATCAGTAAATATCTGCTGAATGGATGAATGATTAATTTGCTCTCCGACTTTCAGGTGGCGACTTCATCTTTCTGAGCCTTAGTTCTTCACCTGGAAACGGCAGTGGCAACCACAGCTGCTTCCCAGTTTTGTTTCGAGGTAAGACAGTACACGTGAGTGTGTTTTATGAGCTCTGAAGCAATATGCGAATATAGGAAAAGCGGTATTGGACGGGGCAGTTACAACCCAAGAGCAAATCAACCCTCCTGCTTGTTTTGCTGGCCCTCTAGCTAAGAATGGTTTTTGCTCTTTGTAAAAAACAAAGATAAAGTCAAAGCAAAGACAACTGCGTGACCCAGACCACGTGTGGCCCCCAAGGCCTAACGCAGTTTACTCTCTGGCCTTTTCCAGAAAGTTGGCTGACCCCTGGCCTGCCTGGGCTCAAACAAACATTTTAATGAGCCAATGAATGATTATTACTCTGCAAATATACCCAGAGTTTAGTACTGTGGTGACTGAGGTGCTCCGCCATTCTCTGACTTCCTTTCTTTAATGCGACAGAGCCAGTGATCAAAGCGGTAAGTTGCCCCCGACCCAGAGGACTCTACATTTGCTTAAAATTAAAACACGAAACAATAAAAGGAGCCTGTAAACACGTTCATTTCCCCTCCCCTAGAGCAACAGTTGGTTTTGAAACAGAGGAGGCAGGGGGTGTGTGGGGAGGGGACCTGGAATGGGAGCTGTGGGCCAAGGGAGCCCCTCCCTGGGAGGGGGACTCCGACTGGTAGGTCTGCAGGCGCCGAGTGTGGGGGTCAGGTCCGTGGAAACCTATTCACTCTGTGGTGTTAAAAACAGATCCCCCCGCCCCGGGAATCCCTCATTACATGGAAATTATAAACGACACATTTACAGGGAATAATAAGGGACCGTGTGCATAACCAAAAATACTGCACAGAAAGGAAAAGGAACTTGGAGTCAAAAGGTCAAGATTCACATTTGAACTTGACCACTTGATGTCACCTTGAGCAAATTCATTAGTCGCTCTGAGCCTGAGTTTCCTCCTCTAGGAGAAGAGAGTACATATCATTGATGCTGTTTGGTAGTGGCTATTCTGAACTATCTGCTTTACACATATTATGGTCGATCTTTCCATGAAACTGCAAAGTGGGTATTATCAGCCCCAATAGATAGATGACAAAACTGAGATTCAGAGAGTTTAAGTAACTTGCTGCAAGTAACACCACTGAAAAGAACCAGAGAGTTTAGAGTCGAATCCTGGCTCCGGCGATACTACCAGTACAACCTCTGATTAGATCCGTGAACTTCTTGGGCCTACAATAGGTTTTATCTTACAAAACAAACATATAAAACCTGAGTTCTGGGAAAGTTCTGAAATTCCTTCATATCACATTACCAACAGACACCTTCACGGTGGGTGGTTTTTCTAGTGTTCTATACTCCATGTAATTCTTTGTCTTTAGAGGCGGTACAGAGGGGGGTGCTCTGCTCCTGGTGTATTACAAGAACAACCTGAGTGGAGGAAGCACAGTACATAAAAGTATGAGGTTCTGAGCATCCGCATTAGGTAGCCCAGCAGTCGCGAAGCCTATCTGTCCCACAGCAATTCTCACTCTGTCCGTGACGCGCACACGTTCACTGTCCGGCGCGTTGGCCGGTCACTAAAGCTTCGATTACCTTTGCTTCATCATCTCGTGCAGCCGCCCGTGCTGGACACACTGTTCCTCCAGTTCGCTGTTCCTCCGCTGGAGCCGCTTCAGCTTGTCACGCGTGTACCTCTTCTCCTGACTGAGCTGAGCTATTTCAGATCTAGAGGAGTGAAAATCCAGAAATAAGCGATGTTAAAGGCTCTTACGATGGGAGCATGTTTTGATTGTATGGACTTACCGCGATCTTAAACTCCATATTTAAATGTATCTGTAAGTAAAAATACGTTGCGTAACATATTTCAGAAACTGCAAAATTTCTAGTAGAGGGATCTCTACTGTAGGGACGCAAGTGGTAGACAGATGGAGGGAGACAACTTGCTCTACATGAGGTGGCCTCTCCGACGAGCAAGACGACAATGGTCATGATGAAACCCCTTTTTAAAAAGACTGTCATTCATTTACTGAATATTCACTGAGTGCCTGTCGTGAGCCAGCCACCACGCTGTAAAAGGAGCAATCCCTGGTCTAATTTCTATGATAGAGTATAGTTTCTTTTAATTACAGTTTACTTACCATGGCTAATTTAATGGCACGTGATTAAAATCATTCCATTCCACAAGGCATAACATTGAAAGAGGGCCGTCCTCTGCCCCTGGACACCTCTATCCCGCGGAGAGGTGACAACTACTTTCAGTATTTTTAAAGCGATTTCTTCTGGTATTTATCTTTGTATTTCTTAATCTGCTTCTATCAATCCCTCGAGTCCCAACAGTTAAGACATTCCTATGATTCATTGTGGTAGATGAAGATGGAAATCTTTGATAATGCCCATATCTCCACCTGGTTCGTGTCATTATTAGCATTTTGGCTTGTGGTTAAACTGGTATTGGTATTTATGCATAATGACTACCTAACTATCAGTCCTAGCTGTTAAAGTGGTATGCTATGATTACATTTGCATCCACGTACATTTATCTTCCCCAAACAGGTGGGCTTTAGTGTCGAGCGAGTGAGCGGCAAGCCACCTTTCCCGAGGGGAGATCCCCAACATCAGTATCTGTGATTCTTTCTGATGTGGCCATTGTTTCTCAAGAGAAGGGGCCTCCAGGTTCCTGCCTGCTATGCACACCCTGACTGTCAGCGTCCCAGGAGCTGGGTGGAAATGGAGGGCTGGGGACCTCACCTCTCAGGATGCAGACTTTCTCTTAATCCCCCCATTCTAATTTCGGCACCCCTGTTTTAACCAGAGCCTGCTGGTTGAATCTCCTCGAAGAGGAAGCCCCTAGTTTTCTGATTGGAGGAGGGACAGTCACCTGGCTGCGTGGGGTGGGGGTGAAACTGATTTTGGATGCAGTCCTATGTGCTGCTCCTGTCTCCCAAGGTTTTCTGGGATCCTGGGAGCAGACCAGCTCCTTCAGTAGACACTTGGCTACGTCAGACACTGTCCCCCCATCTCCTCTCTGTCTCTGCCTATTTCATCTGAGACTGTAGACATCTACTGTGGTGACGGCCGATGCCCCTCAGGAAATATCTTCCTTTTCAGTGTCTTGGATGACTCTCTTAAATCTCAAAATTTGAACATCAGATGTCTGTCCAAGAAAAACTGTGTCCCTGTCCTTCTTTTAATTAAATATTGTCCCCACCGCCACCATCTTCTCCCGATCCAAGCTGCCTCACAGGTTAGAGCTGAGGTTTGGAAACGCTTGCATATTAGAATGAGTTAACGGGTGGCTTGTTTCTTGAAGTTTAAGTAAAGACACTTGATGTACAGTTATCTCCCTCCAAAGAAAGGATTCCTCCCTTAGCGGGGAGCGCCTGCTTGTTCCTCCTGGTCAAGAAAAGCTCCGGGGCTGCCAAGGGGGTTCATCCCAAGGGCCTCGCTGCCTACCAAGGAGGAAGCAATCTCTCTCACTGATAGCTCCTCTCAGGCCTTGCTTTGTTTTCACCTTGGCTCAAGGGTCACGTCAAAGGAAGCCTGCCCTGATTAATACTTTGCAGCTCTCAATGTGGCAGCACGTTTTCTGAAGCTACCTCTAGCTTTCCTGCATTCCTTAGCCTGCAATGTATTCCTCGGAGTTGCGCTCCATGCCTCATCTTTCTTACTAGATTATACACGAGGGCATGACTTATCTCATTTTCAAGCTCAGATCAAACAATCTGCATCTGCTTCACCTAATAAGAATTTACCTATATTTGAAATAGTCTAAATCGATTAATAATGACTTACATTTCTCCTCTCAAGATCTCATACAATATAAAAGAATTTAGGGGAAGTTTTCTGAGACATTAATTGAGCATTCTCCCAAGATTTGTATCTCCTATCGTAATATGCACTAATGTAAAATTCTGAAAGTACAAAAAATATCGTTGAACCAAATGAGGAAAAAATGCATAAGAATATCTGTTCTTAGGTACTTTCCCAGGACCAAAGTCACTTTTTAAAATAAATACCATGAGGGGAACATAGATCTTATAACACAAAAACATAGAACTTTTTCCAAAAACATCAGCGTGTTCCCTGTAGCACTGGTTTGTGAAACAGCGTTGCTCCGCAAAGCAGTATCCGGTTGGGTGCAAATAGCGACCAGAATGTAGGTCATACATTAAACGGGTTCACATCTTAGGGCCAGCCACCCCCTTTCAGGCTCCGCCACCAAGGGAATCATCAAAAATTCAGATTTATGTACAAAATTACTGTTATTTTATTCACAAGTTAAAAATGGGAAACATCTTAAATGTCGTATGAATACAAAGGACTCCAATAAAATTTTATTTCCAGAGTATTTAGTGATATAGAAAAGTGTTCCCTGGGTAATATTAAGTGAAAAAGCAGAAAGCAAACCTGTGTTTATGTATCAGCTCACTCACGATATATGTGCATGTTACATATGTATTTACATGCACACAGAAAATGATTGAAAGGAAACATGTCAGTAGTTAACAATAGTTAGTTGGATGGTAATGTCAAAGGAAATTTTTCTTTAAAGATTTTACTTATTTATCTTTAGAGGGAAAGGGAAGGAGAGAGGGAGAGAAACATCAATGTGTGGTTGCCTTTCGTGCGTCCCCTGCTGGGAATTGGCCTGCAGGGAACTGGCCTGCAACCCAGGAATGTGCCCTGACCGGGAATCGAACTGCAATTGTCTAGTTCACAGGCCCGTGCTCAAAGGAAATTTTTCCTTCATTCTGCTTTGTATTTATATCCAAATGCCTTATATTGAAAACGCCTTATCACAGGATGACAGAAGTATAGTGTTATTTGTGAGGTACACAAATATCAGGTATTTTATTACCACGATATTTTTTCTGCTTTGCCTATTTTGGGGCTTTTTTGCTTTTTTTATAATGATAATTTGCCTACCAACTTCCAATGTACAATAAAAATTTGATACATGTACATGGGCATCATTCTTTGCAGAGAGCCCATGATATATGCAATGAACTAGTCATTTGCAAAGTTGACGGAATAAACTCACAAGTTTCCGTGTTAGTTTGAGATTACATCTGCAGTATGATTATCCTAGTCATATAAAAAGATAATTGACTGTAATTCATTTCCACAGAAAATTTAGGTACTTTCTGGCTTTACAGAAACGTGAACTTTTCCCTGCATTTTTATACACCAGTTACATTATGTAATTGCATCGGTATGAAATATAATAATATTTTACTGCTGTCATTAGGATCACAGTGATAATCGCTTTTTAAGAGAAAACATGACCCCTTAATTTTTTATTCTATTAGATTCTCATTTGACTTTTGGTAACAATTATCAGAGGCTGATATCAGTCTCCCCTTGCAGAACATAATTTTTGTAGCAGTCCAACATTTCAACGTGCAAGGGGAAAAAAACTAGTTCAGCCGGGCGTGTGTTCTTTACTTCAATTAAACTCACACAGTTGGATACCTACGGTTGCCAAGCCAGTAATATAATTTATACATTATAGTCCACACAGTAAAACTACACTAAAAGTCATTTAACAATATTTATAACACCATAAAATCCAGTGTTAAAATATATGAACTGCAATATGTACCAAAATTATAAAATTTGTTTCTCATCATCAGTGATTAAAACCAGGATCATTGCTCTAGCCTCAATACCCACAACCCTGGTGACAGATTAGAATTCAAATCTTAATGATCAATTTACAATTAACAAGATAGAAGTGAAACAAATTAAACCAACCATTATATATAACGAGACCCAGTGGACTCCCATTGTTCCTCTTAATTACAAAACGCAAATCACCAATGCACAATGGGCAGGGTGAGACTTCCATCCACCAGCCTAGCAACCCGGAAAGCGACAATGATGGACAGGAAAGCAGAGACGCAAAACTGCGCCGCCCTGGTCCTCGGCTCTAGGGCCTGGTCTTTTCAGCGCACAAGTGCTGAGAGGCCAGGACGCAGCACGTGTTTGGTCTCCACTCCGCAGCTGGCAGAGGCGCCAGGCCCCCGGAGCCCCTCTCAGGCCCGTTTGAGAGCCCTGCAAACATGGCAGCACGGATTCATCTCAGTGCCTGGGGAGAGGGGATGCTTCCTTCAGTCTGATTTAAAAACAAAAATCACAGTAGCACCAAAGGTATTTAAATACCTTTACTTACCAAGTTCAAAAACACTCCTATAACTGTAGTAAAGTCTCAGGGCCCTGCGCAATAAAGATGAAAGGGGAGCTAGAGTTTATGTGAGCTACAGCGGAAATCAACCAGAACGCCTGCCTGGTGCCAATGGAAAAGAAGATGAAATTAATTCTCTTGCCTGATGGTCAAACACGAGCTATATAAAATGCTTGGGATTGGCAGCTCGTTTTTAGTTTCAAAACAGGTCCTGTGGTTCGCAGACCCTGGGGTTCCGCACAGCGCATGAGCAGTGAGCGAGGCGCAATGGTGCGCGGAGTCCTGTGCTGATCACGGTGCAGGGGTTCCAGAGAACGAAGCGACGCGCACTGCTACAGTGTCGACTTGAGGAGACAGCACACACAATGGACATGACGCACACACACACATGCATGAGGGGACCATTTCTCTGCGCCCCCCTGTGAAGCTGGGATGGAGGCGGAGTGTACAGGAGCTATGAACCCACACTGCCAGCTTTCCTAGGCACTCTGCATGGCTCCAGTCAAATGAGTAGATCTGTGAGTTTTTAAAAAAGGGGGAATTCTGAATGGTATGCATCCAACAGTTTAGGATGGGATTTTGAATAACACGAAACTCTTAGAGAAATGTCACTAGTGAGAAAAGGGGAGCAATAAAAACTTGCTTTTAACTGTTGATAAATACAAAATAAATACACCTACTTGCAGGGGAAATTTTACTGTAATACTCAGAAGCAAACCTGGATTAAAAGTACCATGTGGTTTAAATAATTCTTTTGGAGACTGAGCTTTCATTATGACAGTTCTTTAGAAAACTAAAAAAAAACAGCAAGCTCTCCACGCCTCAGAGTACAAGGGAAGTTGCATTTCCCCAGAGTCTGGTAGGGCATGTAGAGGGGGTCAGTCCTGGACGGCTTCTCAAGGGCTTGATACGTTTATAACTTGTATTTAAAAAGAAACACACTGAGCCCTTCAAGTTTCATAGGTGGTTTCAAAGCAGAAAACAGAATTAAAATGCAATGATAAATTTCACATGAATTTTGAAAATTTCATAGTCTATGTAGAGATGGGCAGGGAGGTGGGTTGGGGAATGAGGCTGGATCAAGAAATTTAATAGTAAACAAACAAAACCCTGAAATAACAATTTGCCCTGAGTATTGTTTTCTCATGAGACCCAACTTTACAATGTTTAGAAGCCCTTCCAAGTTTTAACAATAACAAGGAGTGATTTATTGAGGGGCTACTACTCGCCAGGCCTTAGTTTTAGATTGTTTCGTGAAAAGACGGGAGGTGCCCGTTCAATTCTTCGGATTTAGAGAGCACGGCATTGGCCGGAGCAAGATCCGAGTCACGCCCAGACCCGCACTTTCCCGGTCCTGCTTTGCCTTTGGTGTACAGGTTTGCACGGTGCTGTGTCCGCTGGGTCTCTCAGAAGATGGCACTCACACCCTGGCACAAGCAATAATAGCTAAGTGAAATGACGTCCACACTGCCAGCCAAGACCCTTCCAACAGTGCCACCAAGACAACTCGAGCAGCTAGCGTCTACTTCTGTGCCCTGCGCTGTGCTAGGCGCCTTATGTCTGTGTCTCTCAATGCCCGACTCCCACAATGACCCTGAACATGGTTTCAGAGATGTGCTGAAGGATGAGAAGCTGAGGTCTGGAGGGCGAGGCAGTGCACCCCAGGTTAACGGAGCTAAGCGGCAGGGTAGGGTTCAAACCTAGTTCTTCCTGAATTCCAAAGTGCAGATTTTTACTGCATTTGGCCGTGTCATGAACAAAGAAACGGCTGGAACCAGAGTCGGATCAGAATACCAGGGGAGCACCACACTGTTTCATGCATTCAATTCATTCGTTAGTTCATTCATTCCGTCATTCGTTCCTTCCTGCATGCAACAAATGGATATTGAGTGCCAGCTGTGTATCAAGTAAAAAGGAACACATTCAATTTACAAAATAGCGGTCAAGAGCTAGAGGAATCAGAAGCAAGAGGAGAGGTGTTGAGGTTCAAGTTCATTGGACCAGCACAGGGTACGTTAACAAATATAGAGCAGGATGAAGGGGGCCTAGAGGGAGCGGGCACAGGGAAACCCAGGCTCACAGGTTAACCCTCACCTGACAAGGATGCCCACTTCTCCTTGGGAATTTAAAGAATAACCTCCCTGCAACTTCCCCATCATAACGACTTTGGCCTGGATTTTCTTTAGTAGTAGATTTAAAATATTGCACTTACTGTAAGCGAGATCAGAGACTTTGGAGCCAGAAATACCTAAGTTAGGGCCCCAGCTCTCCCACTTACCGGCCACTAAACCCTCTGAGGACTGGTTTCCTCATCTGTGAAAGAAGAATATGTTCCTGCATCCAGCTGCTGTGGGAATTAAATAATATACACCAGGCACACAGTATCCCTTTGTTTTGTCCACTTCAACTCCCTAAATTATGCCTCCTTAGCAAGATAACTGATCAATAATCAATCAGGAAGCAACCTTAAAATAATATAATGTTGTAAACCCCAGGTCAATATAGCTTTTTCTTAGATTACATAATCCAGTTTGTTTGGATGCATGTGAGGCAGATGAAATATTTCTGGTCAGGAATAGCTACTGTTGATATTTTATGAGTCTCTTTCAAGACAAAATGTGGGTTTCCGTGCCAGAATTCCTGAAAGTATCTGGTATTGTGGCACCCTGAGCATTTTCTGTACCCAGACAAAACATTTAATTAGTATTGCTACAAAGGAGCAAATATCGGGCATGTTCTCAGTGGTTACAGGAACCTCTGCCTTCTCGTGAGCAGCAAGAACTGGATTCAAAAGCCTTCTGACTCCCCGAAAGACTCAGAAATGGAGATTCGATTGGCTCAGCTGGCTTATCGGTGGAGAAAGCCACTGTAGGGCTCGGAGTGAGCAAAGGCTCGGACCCACCTGGAAATGCTTTCTGAATGAGAAACCAGAGTCACTAGGAGTGCTGGTGAGCAAAGGGCTTGCTCTGTGTCGATCTAAGTGAGCTTCAGAAAAACACCAAAGACAAACTGCACGGACCATTTTTCATTAGGTTACAGCTCAGTCAAAGGATTCTGTCCAGTCCTGTTCATAGGACACTTTCTCCTCTCCGGTGAACGCGCATCGCCGGCACTGCTGAGTCTGCACCTCGGGGCCATCATTAGGTAAAACAGGGAGCCTCGGACGCATGCGCGAGGGACCTTGACAGCTGCTGTGATAATGGAGACGCCTACTGAGCGCCCAACAGGAGGGTCACGTACAGTTCAGACGGGGCTGGACAGAGAAATGGCTCCTGCCCCAGGTGGGACCGAGTGGGCTCCTCCGGATGCCACCATGCGACTCGGACCCGCACACGGTTTAAATCTGGTGAAGGTTTATTTCTGGGATTCTCCATTTAAAACGTTCAGACCATGGTGGACCACAGTGAACTGCTACACGGGGAAAAGTGAACCGTGGATAAGGGGATAAGGGGAGACGACTGTATGTCATTGTGACGTTTGACTACAGAAGAGTGGAAACGCTGTCTTTTAAGGGAAAAAAATTACAGGACTTAACCAAACAGACCCCTGAAAGTATTATATAGTATCACCTACCTGCTTTTCTGGGAGATCTGTTCCAGTTTCTTGGCTAACGTACAACATTCTTCCTTTAACTTTGTCAAAAATGTGTTCTGGGAGGTGAGCAGTGAATACTGTTCATTTTCTAGGAATAACAAGAAATACCCACCAACATAAGATGTTTATGGTTGCAACTCTGCGGGGCTTCCATATGCGGAGTAGTAAAAGCACGTTCCCCGCTAGCTACTAGGTCACGGTCAAAGTCCCTAGTCACCTGGGAAGACACCGAATCTTGTGAGACATTTATTTTTAGAATATTTACTCACCGGAGACATTGTCGATCATACCAGTGTGGTGTAATGTTTTAATATGTTAGCAGAGCCTCCAATACCGTGGTAGAATCATACATGCTTATGATCTCTTGTCATAGGCAAGCTATTCTATTTTATCTTGACAGTTTTACTATAAAGTGTCAACACTTATTATAATCGGATAATCAAACACTAAGATATTAAGTGACTCTCCTACACTCTAATTCATGCTTCACGCTTGCTCACCTATTTCATTACTCCCCAGTCTGGCACATCCTTGTCTGATGACAAAGGGGAAACACGCAGTCTGATCTCATTGTCAGTGGCATGAGCTTCAGTGAAGATCGGGATTGCGTGACATGGAGGTGTTTTTGTGCAACGTAAACAGAGGTGCCGTCGGGATGGTTCTCATAGTCACATACTCTTATCTCGCTCGGAGATCCTAATGCCACGATTGCTAAGCTGCTGCTTATAAACAATAATTTAGCCTATAATTTCCTCCTTTTTTTTTTTCTTGAAAAACATCTTAAGTCTGGTGAAATTTCATTGTTTTCTGGCCAAACGCTGGTAGAAGCAAGTCTCTAATGAAGGTGCTGGAGCGAATGACAAGTCACAGTGACATTTGCCTCTTTATAAGTGACGAGATTATTTAGTGAATTTCACGTGAGCAATTTTTCACCTGCAGTGTAGGATGAGCAGTACTTTATTAGCCGGGCACCAAACACAGCATACGTTACATGATGGGAAAATGACTTTCAAGTGTAGGGCCCTTTATTTCCTTTCAATTTTCACAAAAAAGCATGGAGCGTACACAAAGCAAAATAAATTAAAGCACCAAAAAGTAAGCAGCGTCTTTCTGGAAGAGACGGGATCAATTAAACTTTTTTTTAATAGGACAATCAGCTCCGAGAATGTGGTGTGGAATTATAATGAGCAACACTGCCTTGTTGTGACTGACACCGTCTGCGAACACCCAACTCAGAAGTGAAAAGAACTACATAATGCTCCGACTGAACACATCAAACTGCCTATTTTTCCAAGTACATTTTACTTTCAAATGAAAGGTAAGGAGTTACTGGCCAGCTCAGCCTGCAGAATGGCGCCAACGTGATGAAAGATGGCAATTTTTAGCCAAGCTGCCAGCTGTGGTCAATGCCTTGTATTAGTGAATTTTAACAGCAGTTGTGAGAACTTGAAGAATGCAAAGGATTAAACATCACTCTCAACTGGGCTGGTGGAGGGGGGAGGAGGTGGGGACATCATACAAATGCTAAAAATGTTCGAAGCTGCAAAGATTAAATAAAGGAACATATCAATTTGGAGCCACTGAATTACATCCAGCTGCGACAGTGAATTAAGAACCGATTAATGGCTAAAGCTTTTCTCCAGTTTGGATGCTGAAGCAAACTCATTAGGCTTTTAGAGTCGCTATAATGTGTGTGCTGTGGGAACTGTTCAATGCTATTCAGGAGACTTTAACTGTAAGCTCAGAGCATTTCCCGCAGAGCTTCTGATGCTATTTTCTTTATATAACATGTGTGCCTGCAAACCCAGCCAAAAACAAGCCCTTTGTTTTTCTACTTTGTTGTGGTCTCTCTCAGCTTTACGTTTCTTGAACACAGGTAAATAAACTCATAATCCAGATGGCGCAGCAGATGTGAGAGCCACACTCTGAAATCAACAGACAGTGGGCAATACTTTCCATTTTCTCTTTTAAACGCTAACTAATATGGAATTCGGAGTCTCCGGTGTAGTTAGCATCTGCTCCCTTCGGCCAGCCAAAGGTTACAGGTGTTCCTGATGTCATTTCACAGTGAGGCGTGGGCCTGGCTCGGGAGCCTGCGCCCCGGCTCTAATCTCTCCCCACCACCTACCAGTTCTGTCATGCTGGGCCTCCATTTGCTGCATCTTCTCTGTCAGCTCCTGCTCTCTCTGCCGGGCCTGAAGGGCTTGGGCCTTGGCTTCGTCGCTGCAGCTCTGCTGAATGCTCTCTTTTTCCAGTCTACAAAGCAGAGAGGAGACAGACAAGAGATTCAGCCCACAGATGCACGCGCCCCCATCAGTTCCCTGCAGACCGCAGAGAGCTGATATGCAGGAATTGTTCAGCGTAAGAAGACATCGGTCTTTCCACTCGGCCCCCGCCAGCCCCCATTTAGGGGGAAGATCCGAAGGACCTTGCATGCACCGTTAAATACGTACCGTAAAGCCAATGGACTAAGTATACAACATTCAGAATCGAAAAGTAATGGTATTTTGTGAGTTTAAAACACAAACCCCTTCCGCTCTAACATGCTCAATGTTTTGGACCACACTAGTGAGTCTTTTATCTGATGACTGGTCAGTATTTCCCAAAGATTCTGCAGTTACAGGAATAGCAGGCTCCATACGTCCAAACTGAAATTCTAGAAACAAAGGTTCGTTCCTAGATCAACTCTCCTTTGCCTCCCAAACTTAAAACGGAATCTCCAACATAATGTAGGAGATGCTACCTGGAGGCAAGTAAAGGATTCTGCAGTACCACGCGTTAAATATTTTCACACGCTCGGTCATGTAATGTAAATGTATATGTATGTGTGTGCATGGATATGACATGAACAACTTCCCCAGACCGCAGACAGCACTTCGTCATAAAATACCTTTCTGGGTCGCACAAAGACACTATGCCACCCCGCTGTGACTGGATGTTGACTCAACCTGCTGGGACCAGACGGTCAGTGTCCAATCACAGTGACTCCGGAGGAGGGAGGCTTCCCCAACACTAGAACCACAGGACGCCGGGCCTCCGGGCGGCCCGCGCCGCCGGCGCGGACACTGTATGCGCACGCGCACTGTGCTAGTTCTTCGTGCTCTAAATACGAGTGAGACAAGGGTTTCCTTCGATTCACTGGCTCAGCTCTTTCTAATCCTGATCCCCTTGTGGGCATTTCTCATCCATGCTGCTTTAGTTTACTAATTGAGATATTTACTGCCTTGCCTTTGCCAAACTAAAAATAAACAATTCCATAAAGCTATCACTAGTAGTGTATGTACCACTGCGGAACTTCAAGTCGCTGGCTTCTAATTATAAAGCAACATAAGGAAAGCCTGCATTGAACTTGGTCAATGCATGTGCTAATGTCGTAGTGTAAAATTCCAGAATGAAAATACGCCCACACCTCACTCAGATGAAACCGTCAGGGGTCCACGCTGAAAATGTGAAGAAAGGTCCCTTCTGGTGCTTCTAATAATGACACCCCCTTGGACTTGCTCCAAGGTCTTGCCTGAGACTCAGCCCCAAACTGGTGCGTCACAACAACTAGATACTCAGGCTGAGGCATGTTTTGCCTCCCCAGTCACACTGTCTATTTCTGGCCTTGGATCATCGCAGGCCTTTTTGATTTCCAGGGATGTCTCCCTCACCCTCTTTATCACCCCCACTGCCAAGACCCTGTCCCCTGCTCTGCGTACACTACTCCTGTAAGGCCTGCTCATGAACTATTCTCTTTTCAGTAACCTCAATATATGTTGTGCATGTTTACATCCTACTAACACAGCATTATCCCACTTTAGTTCCTGGTTTACCTTTGTCACCTTTGTCTTTCTGTTCCTGTACTTGGCACACAGGACATGGGCAGAGAGCGTTTACCCAGTGGACATTCTTACAGCATTTCTACACCGGGAAGGCCGGCTGTGGACTGTCTATACATGAAGCTGGAGAATCTGCTCAAGTCTTAGTTTCGGAGGCCCAAACTTTGCGGCTGTGTTAGAACAGAGCATCTAGAGGAGACGGCTCTAATGGCCAGCTGGGGACCACACTGCTCAGTGAGTCAGCCCCCACAATGCTCAGTGAGTTAGCATTGTGGACCCTTTCCATGAGTAATGTCCCCACATCAGACCCAACGTAGAGCAGGGGATATAGGGAGGGAGAACCCGGGGCTCTGAGGTCCCTAATAATCGGATGGGCACACGATGCATTGTTCAGAACCAGTACCCGTTGGAGAGTGAAGAGGGGCATGATTCACAGTAATGCAGAGACAACAGGCATAATGGGGACTGTGCTTTGCAACTGGGGCTGATGTCCCCTTACATGAAGGGGTTGGCAGCCTCATCATCCATTTTTAGCAGGAGAAGCTGCTTAATTACTGATGCCCAAAGTTCACCGAAGAGAAAGAACCATGGTTACGGTGGTTCTCCTAATACAACAGTTTAAAAGACCGCACTACCAACAGATGTCGAGTTACCCGTCAACTTTTGTTTCTTTCCCTCTGTTTAAGAAAACACACATTTTATTTTTCACTGCATAAAAACTTGGCATATTTTTGCTCTCCTACCTTCTTCCTCCTTCCTCTCCCTTCTCCCCTGTGTTGTTTGCCCCCTTGCAGGCTCTTTCCAACATAGTAGGCTTTTCATAAAATCTTAGAATGGTAGAACTGAAGGGGAATCAAATTTGCTTCCTCAAATCCTCTCATAGTACAGTTGGAAAAAAGAGGGTCATAAATAATTAAAAATCTGCTCAAACACTACCTTGTCAGTGATGTAAAGGCAGAGGCGAGATCTGAAATGCTGTGATTTGGGGAAACTTATTTTATAACCCCTTAGGGGGAATGCAATGATGGATTGCAAGAATTCACTAAAACCACTTAGGTATCCAAGGAAGAGATGAAAGAAAAATCCAAATGAATTTAATTGAATATTTATTATAATCTACTAAGTGAAAGACAATGGTGAAATACACCCCAAGAAAGGCAGAAGGGACAAACAACCCAAGCATAAGAAATGAGAGGTTATTTCTAGCTAAGTTTAAGAGACTCAGAAAGAAGAGCTAAGCCAGTTTTCCTAACCGGTTTCCATTCAGTTCTCAAAACACGGTTGACCTCATTTAACCAGATTTGTGGTTCCCCAGATTTTACAAACCAGAATGAAAGCTATAGTGGCAAAGAATTTCTTGGTCGTTATTAAAATGAGACTGAGAGACTTATCCATGATGGCTAAGAACGGGGAACAACCTCAGTGTCTGTGAACTGCTGAATGGATAGACAAACTGCCGTGTAGCCTTACAAAGAAATACTCTCAACGGCGGTGACACAGGATGGAGCTGCTGTTCCCTACAACACGGGGATGAGCCTCAAAAGCATATACTTAGAGCAGCCAGATACCTAGGACATACTGATGACTTTGTTTATAGGACATTCTAGAAAACCACATGCCAGGGTGATGGGTCAGTGTGGCCAGGACCTGGAGGTAGGGGACAGGCCCAAGGAACTTGATGTGGTGACAGAGGTGTCCTGTGGCTTCTCAGGCTTGAGACTACATACTTGTCAGAATACATTTAATCGCACACCTATAATTATTGACTTTCATGATGTGTAAATGTACCTCGGTGGAGCTGATTTTTGAAGGAGTAGGTACACTAGAACGGAACGTCCACCCTTCCCTCCGAGTTAGCCCATGCCCCGCGGTCACACAGGCACGCGTGGCCCACGTCAGTGCTACCTGCTGGCAGTTAAGGATTAAAAGGAGGCAATGAGAGCTGGAGAGGCCTTGACCATGGACTGAGGATACACAGAGGGTTAGTCCCTCCTCTTTCCAATTACAGTTCTGCTCACTTATATTTTCTAAAGATGTCTACAACATTATCATCCCATAAAAAAGGAGACTGAAGAATAAAACTGACGTTTTGGAGGCCCAACTTTTCTGCATCATTTATCACTTAAAATCTTGCTATCTTAAAAACACTCACTCTGCAGAGCAAAAATGACTTATTAAAAAGATTTGGGTTCATGTTTAATATGACAGCTACAGCGAACACTACAGTTGCTCATGGTCTGGAAGTTGGTCAGTGAATCTGGGGCAGACACGACCCAAGTCTCGAGTGTCACGGGAGAACAAGGCCTGGGAGTGGTGGTGGCCTGAGTCGCCAGTCCCACCTGCCATGTGTCTCTTCACTTCTCACTGGGACTGAAGTCCCAGTGTTGGGCACACCACCTTCTGTCTACAGGAAAGCTCCCTCGTACTGTACAATAGAGAGAGCTTTGTGCCAATGGCACACGGATGCGACAGAACTTAGGAGGACACTTATCACACGTCTACTTTCCGAGAGCCACTCAGGCTGGACCTGCAGAGAAGCAGCAGAGGGGCCCAGGGGCCGCTGTGAGCTAACACACACGAGGACCATGTGTTCTAATGTTGGTGACGACGCCTTTGACCACTTGGTTAACACTGTCAGTGTGCCGGATGTTTTATAACTGGTCTCCAGGGCAGGGGGGGAACGTCCCTATTTATCAGTGTAAATACTTCTACCATGGCCAGTTTCAAGCTACCAGAGAGTTGCCACTGGTCGCAGAGTTAGGAAGAAACAGAGACGACTGGCTTTCGTGAACTAGTGTCACTGGCGCCTGCATGTAAGTGGTGTGGTGGTCTCTCCTTTGCAGTTACCATTTCCCTGTTCATACTCATGTAACAGGTAGCTTGTCGGGAGGCAATGAGACATCCTATTCCTCATCAAACTCTCCCCTACCAGTGTTACATCTAATGAGGACTTTTCAGCTGTAGCATTCTTTCTTGTTCATTAGTTAGTATTGTGTTAAAGGGAACAGCTTTGTCTTTCTCTCACTTATTACTTCACTGATATTGGCACAGAGTCATGGGTCAACCACGAGGATCATTATTTACTTCTATGTCCAACTCATCCTGGATTTGGCCAGTGGGAACCACGTGAGCTGGCTCCTGTATATCTGTATTATTCTTGTTTCCTCCTTGGCTTCCTGTCCCCACAAGATGTTCCAGGCTCATCTTGTGTATTTATTTGGCTTTTATTTTTCAATCACAGTTTACATCTAATAGAGTTTTGTGCTGGTTTTAGGTGCACAGCACAGTCATTAGACAGTCTCATCTGGAACCGTCCTTGTGCGCGTCTTGGAACTGATGTCTGTCCAAGCAGCTCGCGTGCTCTTCCGTGGAGAATGGTATTTAGAAGCCAGCTTTTGCCACTAGGAGGTGCCCACTGCTGCTGAGGTGTCAGCT